AAAAAAAAAAAAAAAGAATCTGAACTTCGAAAAGCTTTCCAGTTCATATGAAAATACCAATATCAAAAGGAAAAGTAAAAAAATATCTCAAGGAAAAAGACAAAAAGATATTACTCTGCTGCATACATTTGTTATTAAGTTTGTGCTGCAACACTTAACTCACTTCCTACTCTTCAGGCCTTGTGAATGCTACTCGAAACTGATCCAGAAACAAGCTGGCTTCACACCGTAAAGTCTCAGAGCCCAGCAACCTAATACTAAAAAGAAAAATAGGGCAGTTTGATATAGCTTACTTCCAAACTCTATTATAAGAATGAACCCAAACTTAGAACTCTAACCTAACTCTAAAATTCCCCAAATGCAAATAAGATTAATTTTAAATGTTATAAACTAAAATTATAAATTATAATCTAATTTATATAAGCAGGTGGTCAATTTCTTGAAAAATCATACTGAAATTCTTTCCAAACCAGCAACACTGTAAGTCAAAATAACCATCAATTAGGATTTAATAAAACTTTACACTCCGTGCTATACAAGAAGAAATATCACATAACAACAAATATCTAGTTTGGAAAACAAAATACTTAATTTTCTTTAGCATTTGGTGTTCTGTACAGAAAAGAAAAAATGTTCAAATTTTAAAATAAGGAAACCAAATTATCTTTAAGCATTTCAAAATAAGATTCTAACATGCTGGATTGTATTTGGGTGTCATTCCTTGGGACCTATTCTATTGCCCATCAAGAGTGGAGGGGAGGGGCGCCTAGGCGGCTCAGTCCATTAAGGTTCCAACTTCAGCTTAAATCATGATCTCACGGTTCATGGATTCCAAGCCCTGTGTCTGGCTCTGTGCTGACAGCTCAGAGCCTAGAGCCTGGAGCCTGCTTTGGATTCTGTGTCTCCCTCTCTCTCTGCCTCTCCCCTGCTCGTGCTGTCTCTCTCTCTCTCTTTTTTTTTTTTAATTTTTTTTTTTTTTACATTTATTTATGTTTAAGAAACAGTGAGACAAAGCGTGAGTGGGGGAGGGGCAGAGAGAGAAGGAGACACAGAATCTGAAGCCGGCTCCAGGCTCTTAGCAAGCAGTCAGCACAGAGCCTGATGCGGGGCTCGATCCCACGAACTGTGAGATCATGACCTGAGCCGAAGCTGGACACTCAACCCACTGAGCCACCCAGGCACCCCCCAATCTCTCTCTCTTTCAAAAATAAATAATAAACATTAAGGGAAGAGAGGAATGGGCAGTATCTGCCTAACAACAATGGACCAATCAGTGGTGTCATCTCCATATATAAGAAGCAGCACTATTATTTACATGAACATAGTATATCATTAATATCAACTACTAGTTCTGGAAGAAAAACAGGCACTCATGGTGCTTCAAAGATTACCTTTCTTAAAAAAAATTTTAAAAACCTAATATTAAAAATAATCTACAAAATGTTTAGCAAACAAGCCTGCCTAGATAACCGATCCTAATAGTTCTTAGAACCTTTGGGGGGGGGGGGTGGCATGAACACCTTTTGAACATCTACTGAAAGCTAGGGGTCTTTTCCCCAGAAAGTACAGATACACAGAGTTCACAGACTCTGGGAAGACTATTTATGGACACCCTCACAGATCTAGGTTAAGAACCAGAGAGATGAAGTAGAAATTTTCCCAAGGCATTTTTGACTCTCTTCCATAATTTTATCTCTGACTCATCAAACTAAATCATTCATAACCAGACAATAAACTCTCATGTTCTGCCAAACAAACAAAAAAAAAGTTTGATGGTATTAAGCCGTATTCACCTGAAAATATGATGAATTGGCAGAATTTTAAAATACAGCATCTAACTAATGATATCAATAAACATTATAGTGTATTATGACAGCTTATAAAATGATTTCACATTATAACAATATTTTATACCCTTTTACAGCTAAGAAAATAATGATTATTTTTATTATTCTATGAAGAATTTCTTCTCATTCATCTCTTTAATTCTTAATATACAAAAACAAATAACTTTGTTGAAAATTTAAACATAAGAAACCAAAAGTTTAAACACCCAATTTTTTTAAAACACAAAAACTAACTGAAATTAATTTTTAGGATGTTCAAAATATCTTGTAATCTTTTTGTGTGTGGGGGGGGTTATTTATTTAGAGAGAGTGTGTGTGTGTAAGCAGGGGAGGAGCAGAGACATGGGGAGAAAATCCCAAGCAGACTTCTTCAAAGTCAACTCTGAGCCCCATGTTGGGGTCCATCCCACCAACTTGCAAGACCATGACCTGAGCCAAGATCAAGATCAAGAGAGTCCCACGTTTAACCCACAAGCCACCCAGGCGCCCACCCTTGTAATCTTTTTTCAATAACAATACTCATTTCCATTCTCTACAACTCTTAATTAAAAGTTCTCTAAAAAAAAAAAAAAAAAAAGTGTTATTTGTCTAAACCCCATAGAATATACAACATCAAGAGTGAACCCTATTTAAACTACAGATTTTGGGTGATAATGATCTGTCAATGTAGATTCATCTTTTCTAACAAAACTACCATTCCCACGTGGCAATTTTGATAGTGAGGGAGGCTGTGCATATGTGGAGCAGGGCAGGAGGCATATGGAGGCAGAAGGTATATGGGAAATCTGTACCTTACTTAATTTTGCTATGAACCTAAAACTGCCCTAAATATAAACCCTGTTTTGAAAAAGGAGTCAGTGGGTGTGTCAAAATTTACCTGGCTTTCTTAACAAATGAGGAAATACTGTTTTGTAAAAATTACCCCGACTGTGAATTAAGTTTCCTGCCAGAATACAGAATGTGCAATTATTACAGAATATATTATCATTAAAAAAACCCCACAGTAATAGTAATCTTATCAAATACTAAAAGAATGTTTTAAATGTTAATACCAAACAGTGCATATGTGAGTACAGTTATCTTAAGATTCCTTTTTATATTTATGTTCCTATTATTTGATATTTTAAAAGGCAATATACAAAGGGACTGACAGTTGTAGTTCAGGAAGGAAAAGGAAAAGCAGCAGCCAATGAAAAAAGCCACCGCCAAGCAGAGGTCCTCCTGTTCTCCCAAGACCACCCTCTGCCAGAGTCAGGATTCAAGGGAGATGGAGAAAGGGTTTCCTCATAAAGTGAGAATAAAGAACAGCAAACGTCAATTATCAACTTACAGAAAACAAAAATAATGAAAAAGTGCAACCAGCAGATAAACTACTTTCGTCAACCCAGGTTTTTCGAGACGCTTTCCCCAAAGTATCCTCCCAAGGCGGTAACATTAGCATAGGGTAAAGGGTCAAAAACAGTTATGCTATTAAAACGGATAAAAGGGAATTACTAAGAAAGGTTCAATTTCCTACGTAAAGTCATCGGATTCAACACTGCCAAGTGGGAAAATACGTAAAATGCTTTTCACACCCAGGAGCGCAAACGCTACGACTGTGCAAATCCAGTAAAGGGTAAACCCCGGACTAGAAAACTCCCAACTATGTAGACAAATCGCCCTCCCTGAAGAAATCAGCAAGTTAACTAAGCCCAGAAGTGAGTGGAAGGAAGAAAGAGCTGGTTGTGGAGCAGTAAAACAAACTCCACGGAGCGGCTGCGTGTTCGGAAAGGGGCTTTGGTTACTGGTGTCACACCAGGAGGCACTCTTCCATTAGGATCTATACTCCCGCGGAAGGGAAATCTGACGCGAGCAGCAAACCCCCGGTACCAGCAAGTCCCAACGGGCAGTGAGCCCCTCCGGCGAGCCAGTCCCCGGCGGGCTGCGAGTCCCCACGCCGCAGGGCCAGGAGACAGCCCACCTGCCGCGCACCCACAGGCCGGCCGCCCTCCCTGGGCCCCGAACCCGGCCGGCCGCACCGCTACTGTTCATTCCTTGCACGCCACCAAGCACCTGCCTGTCCGTCTCTTCTTCGAAAGACCGAGAGGAGACAGCCAAGGGGGCACCGACGGGGATGACAGAGCCAGAGGCTGAGGATCTCCTCGAGGAAATGCGACCCCGTTCCTCCTGCCAACCAGAGCGACAGAAAACGTGCAGCGGTTTAATGGGCCCCAAACCCTCTCAGCTGTGGAGTTTTAGTTACTGCTTGGTAGGGCTGGAGTATCCCGGAGCCAGAAGCGAAAGCTCGAGCGGCGTAACGATATTTAGGGTTGGGTTAAAGGAGGGCTCGGCGTGAACCCACAGCACCACACAAAGGAAGAGAGGAATGAGGGGGGAAGAAGAGCGGTTACCTCGGTCCTCCGCTTGTCCCTCCGCTCGGTTCCTCCCGGCCTCGCTAAAGCAGCAGACGCGCAACCAGGCTACCGCAACCCAGCGTCTCTCCGCAGCACCTAGCGGCGCCGCACTAGACCCGCGCGAGCACCCGACGGACGCGCGCCCTCCTGCGCGGCCCCGTAGAGCCCTGGCAGGCGCCGGGCTTCCTCTCGGCTCAGCCCCGAGAACGGCGGCCTCTGGCGCGGCGAGAGAAGCGCGCGCCGAGACCCGCGCACAGCACTCTGGGAGGTGTGGTTTATGGTTACCTCCGCCGGGTGCCCGCCCCCCACCGCGTCCTCCCCGCCCCCTCTCGCTCAGCAGCGGCTAGAGGCTTTTGGAGACTGTCGATGCGGTGCTGCCGGGGGGCGGGGGAAAGTTGACCAGGGCCTAAGGGACGTCCTCAAAACAGATCGAGACAGGACACCGCATAAATAATTCTGGAGTTATCCATTGCTTACATTTCCATGGCCGTGCAAAATTCAGTTTCTTTTTACATCCACCAACTTCCCTCCTGTGCGTTGGGTATTCTTGGGGTTTATACCTCTTTTTTAAAAAAGGTGGGGGAGCGGGAGGACTTCCGTTTTTATTCCTATGACAGTTTCTCCACGCTTTCTGCAGAGGATATACACAGCAGCTTGTGTTTATAAATGTAGACCCACAGTTTGTAAACTTAAGCAAGCAGTTAACTGACCTAAGCACACGCTGCCAAAAACCATTGAAAGAAAAATGATGTTGAAAGAAACCAATTTTTCCATAAAGTCAATGGAATGTAGAGGTGGGAGATTAAGAGAGAGCAAAGAAAAAAATTTTTAAGTATATTTTCCTAATATGTCTTTTGTTAGACAACCTCAAGCTTTTACAACCCCAGAAATATATTTCAGAATAAATTTAACTCTAGGTACATTTATGAATATTAACACATAGGTTTGTATTGACACATAGGTTTGCTGAAAAAAAGAGCTTTTTAAAAAAATATCATGTTAGGTAAAAACCCAAAAATGACTACTTGAATCTGAAATTTCATTTCCAGAAAAAAAATCACTTTTTTTACATAACAGAAATTGAAATAAATAATCCTTAAGATTTCAAAATATTTCTCTTCAGAGCATTGTATTTTACAAATTTAATGTCAATGCCCTTAGAAAAATAGAGCAAGACCCGTTTTAAAGTGTACACACACAGAGCTCCAGCTCAGTGAGTTAAGCAAACCACATTTGATGTCATGCCTGAGGCTCTGTGTTGACAGTGTGGAACCTGACTGGGATTCTCTCTGCTCTCTCCCTGCTCACACACAGAGTCTCTCTCTCTCTCTCTCTCTCTCTCACTCTCTCACGCATACACATAAATAAATAAATGCATAAATACATAAAAAAACAAAGTGCGCACACACACACACAATTATAAAATTTGTCTGGAAGCATGATGTAATACAATATATATTTAATAAAACCAGGACATCTGGGTGGGTCAATGGGTTAAGCGTCTCACTTCCACTCAGGTCATGATCTCATGGTTCATGGGTTCCAACCTTGCACTGGGCTCCGTGCTGATAGCTGGGAGCCTAGAGCCTGCTTCGGTTTCTGTGTCTCCCTCTCTCTCTGCCCCTCCACTGCTGGCTCTTGCTCTGTCTCTCACTCTCTCTCTCTCTCAAAAATAAACATTAAAAAATGTTTTTAATAAATAAATAAAACTGTGTTCTAATAGAATTTTTTTCTGTAATTAGAACTTTTTTTTTTTTAATCAGGTGTACTCCTAAAAAAATCTCATAGAGGGGGGCCTGGCTGGCTTAGTTGGTAGAGCATGTGACTCTTGATCGCAGGATCATGAGTTCGAGACCCATGTTAGACTTAGAGCTTACTTAAAAGAAAAATGAAATAAAAAATGCTTATACAGCAGAGCTGCTTTCTTCTCTGCTGAATATACAAAGCAATATACTACCTGTAGTCACTAACTACATCAAAGAAATATACACAAAATTTCAATACTCATCATTTATTTATTCAAAAATATTTATTGAGCATTTACTATTTGCCAGGCACTGAGCCAGGAAATGGGAAATACACAGTGAACAAAACTAAATAGTCCCTGCACTCCTGGAGACCTGAGATCTAGTGGAGGAAACAGAAAACGAACAGAGAAATAAAAAGGTATGCATAGAGTGACAAGGGGAGTGGGGAACACATAAAGTAGACCAATCTAGAATTTTTCATTGGGAGAGGAGAATCACACAAAAAACCTGAAAATTAAATTTTCAAACCAAATGTCAATAAACTAGGAGTAGGGGGGGAGAGAGTCGTTCCCTAAAAAATAATATAGCCACAGCAGTGCTCTCAATTATTTTAAAAATATATATATCTCACAAAACAAGATATACCTTTGAGGGGGTTCAAGACATGCTACCCCAGAATATGGCACGTTAGCATATGGAATAAAGCTAAAGGAATTTGAGAAAAATGGCAGAAGGAGGAAGGTCACTCTGCGCTTCACCCTCTCACCTTTCTTCCCTGAAAGAGTTCATAAAACTACCATGTGAAAGGTGCCTTCCCTGTACCAGGAGGAAAGAAGACATTTTAATCACCAGAAATGGAATTTAGGATGGAGAAAGCTATATGAACGAACCTTGTTAGGGGCGACTGGGTGGCTCAGCCATTAAGTATCTTGGCTCCGGCTCAGATAATGATCTCTGATTTCCGGAATTCAAGGACCCAGGTCAGGCTCCACACTGGTAGCCTGAGCACCACTATGCAGCACCACCTCGCCCGTCCAAGTCCTACAGAGTCACTGGACTGCACTTTCTTACGATTCCTCCACCCCATCTTATCACCTCTTTCACAGCCAAACTCTACTGTGGTGCTTTAACTTCCCTTAACAACTGTCATTTCCTGACTTCTCCCCCACAACACACTGATGGCTACGTTTTCTGGCCTTCACCCCGCAGCCCAGTTTATGCTATTTTAATTTATGACAGTTCTAACCTTCGTTACCCTTGCCAATAATCAGACATGGGTATCTCTAAACCTTCGCTAACCTTTTTCCATTCTAGTCTCTGAAATATTTGCATTTCCTTAATTTCTCTCTGGGCCTTTGTAATTGCTGGGCCTTCTCCCTCTTTGCCTGGCTAACTTCCGCTCATCATCCAATATTAACTTAGATACTATTTTCATGAGGAAGTCTTCCCTGGTTACAGTCCCCTCTCCTCAATTCTGGGTTAGTTTCTTATATATATGCTCACATTGTAACCTATTTTTGCCCCAAATGTAGCACTTACTGGTGAGCATTTTAATTAGTTATCTACCTCTTTCATTCATCCCAAGGATGCTTAAATAGAAAGTAGGAGCATAGTACTCGATTTATGGTAGCTGTTTAATAAACACTCAGACAATAAATGAATCCATATCAACTTTGTGAAATAAAGGAGAATTGAGTAAATATATTCAGAAAAGGGCCAAATAGTAAATATTTAAGGCTTGCAGACTCTAAGGCCTTGTCTCAACTATTCAACTCTGCTTTCTAAAGGATGATAGCTAATTCCCACGGTGGCTTCAGAATATCTCTGTAAGACAGAATTTGAGTTAAAAAAAATGAGTGAAAGGAGTGGGGGAAACTCTGGGCTAGAGAACATTACTTGGGGATATATTTACACGTAGATACATAGTTCAGTAATAAGTTTTTTGGGTAGTCTGGGTCAATGGAAGGAGCTAAAACAGAAAGCATCTTTGGTATGGCCATTGCTGGTTCAATTTGTGCACTAATTTTTTCTTTTGAAAATCACTTGTGTTTGTGAGTTTTTACAATTTATAATTTAACCCACGTTCCCCTCATTTTTAACATTTCACTTTTGCTACTCCATCCTGCCCAAGTCAATTTCCTGTGAACTTGCCTAGACATGTTTGAGCTTTCAGGCTATATATTTGGCTCTCTAGAGCAATCCATGAAGTAAGAGGATGAGAGCAATTTGCCTCCATCCCTACCCCCTCTATAAGTATTGTGACTTCAGTCATCAGAAAAACAAATTTAGAGAAATTCTGTTTTCCAATATCTATGTTTGAAATATGTGCAATACACTCCTGAGCAAAATTGTATCCATATACATGGTAGAAACTGACACAGTGTAACAAATGCAATTGTGTTTCAATTCCAACATGTATTCCAAATGTGTGATCTGTATGCAAAGTACTTGTTTCAGGGCACCTGGCGGGCTCATTGGAAGGAACATTTGCCTCTTGATCTTGGGGTCATGAGTTTGAGCTCCACGTTAGGTGTAGAGATAAGTAAAAAAAAAATTAATGAATAAAAACTTTAAAAAAAGGAAAAGTACTCATTTCATTAAGATTTAGATCTATATTACATTAGGTTTCTGATAACATCTTCATATTAGTTTAATTAAATTAAATGCAGCATGGCAGATACTGCTAGTTGCTTAAAAAATATCTTCTTGGGGCGCCTGGGTGGCGCAGTCGGTTAAGCGTCCGACTTCAGCCAGGTCACGATCTCGCGGTCCGTGAGTTCGAGCCCCGCGTCAGGCTCTGGGCTGATGGCTCGGAGCCTGGAGCCTGTTTCCGATTCTGTGTCTTCCTCTCTCTCTGCCCCTCCCCCGTTCATGCTCTGTCTCTCTCTGTCCCAAAAATAAATAAACGTTGAAAAAAAAATTTAATAAAAAAAAATATCTTCTTGCCTTCTTTGTTAATAAAAGAACCCCAGTTTCTTGAGGGGTGGCTATGTACCTAGCTAACAAATTATCTTTCAGCCTCTCTGACAATGTAAGTTCTAAGCATTAGATAAAAGCATTGCATGGAGGTTTGGGGATGGCTGCTTAAAGGGAATTGATTCAGCTGGGAGGATCCTCTCATCTTCTCTCTTCCTGGAAGTAATACCTTCTCGGCCTTTTGGGTAAGATCAAGTGTAGTAATAGCTTGAGTTCTAGCAGCCGTCTTGGACCAAGAGGTTATTTGAGTTATGAATAGGATGGCAAATGACAGAGGAGCCTGAGTCCTTGATGACCATTGAACCACCAAACAGTCTCACTATAGGCCTTGAGGAGTGTGAATTTCCAATTGCA